GAGAAATCCTGTCTTGAAAAAACAAATTAAATTAAAACTATTCTTACTGAGACCTTTCTCTCTTCCTTCCTCCCTCCCTCCCTCCCTCCCTCCCTCCCTCCTTTCTTCCTTCCTTCCTTCCTCCTTCCTCCTTCCTCCCTTTCTTTAGTTTTTCAAGACAGTGTTTCTCTGTAGCTTTGGAGCCTGTCCTGGAACTAGCTCTTGTAGACCAGGCTCGTCTCAAATCACAGAGATCCGCCTGCCTCTGCCTCCCGAGTGCTGGGATTAAAGGTGTGCGCCACCACCGCCTGGTGCTGAGAATGGGAAAGTAACATTCTCTTCAACAGACCATGCTGTTAAAGTGGAATATCTATAAATTAAGGAATAAAGTTGGACCCTGACTTTACACAGGGTACTAAAAACTAAAAATAGATCAAAGACTTAAAAGTGAACACCAACAGGCGTAGTGGCTCAGGCCTGTTAATCTCAGCTACTTGGGATGCAGGGACAGGAAGATTCTAAGTTCAAAGCCCGTCTAGGCTATCGAGTGAGTCCAAGACCAATCTGGGAAACTTAAGACCTTGTTTCAAAATAAAAAGTAAGAAGAGAGTTGGATACAGCTCAGCGGGGGAGCCCTTGCCACATGAGTGGGAAGCCCCATGTTCAACCTCTAGCCGAAAGAGAAAAAAAAAGGAGCTAAAGTATAAAATTCTTAGGCTAAAACATAGATTGAATTTTTATCAAAGTAAAATCCTTTCAGGGCTGGAGAGGGGGCTCAGTGCCTAAGAGCACTGGCTGCTCTTCCTGAGGTCCAGGGTTTGGTTCCCAGCTGTCATGGTGGCTCACAGCTGCCCATAATTGTAGTTCCAGGCCTGCAGTCACGTGTACATTCCCACATACAGACACAAACAACTACACATAATTAAAAATAATAATTTTTTTTGCTTGTTTGTTTTTTTAAGACAGGATTTCTCTGTGTAGTGCTGGCTGTCCTGGAACTTACTTCGTAGACCAGGCTAGCCTCAAACTCAGAGATATTCCTGCCTTTGCCTCCCAAGTACTGGAGCTGGGATTAAAGGCGTGTGCCACCACTGCCTAGCATAAGACTGTTTTTCTCTTTCTCTCTCTCTCTTTCTTTCTTTCTTTTCTTCCTCCCTCCCTCCTTTCCTTCCTTTCTCCTCCTCCTCTTCTTCTGACAGGGTTTTTTTTCTGTTCTGAAACTCACTCTGTAGACCAGGCTGCCTGTCTGTGACCCCCCAAGATAAATATTTTTAAAAGACTTTAATGGAGGAAAATGACAACTTAAAGAGTTAAAAAAAATTACAAATCATCAGAAAAGAACTGAATATTTAAAAAAATCCCCAACTCAGCCAGATAGGGGTGGCCCGTAAGCACTTGGGAGGCAGAGGCAGGTGCACCTCTGTGAGTTCAAGGACAACCTGGTCTACCGAGCTAGTTCTAGGACAGCCAAAGCTACCAAAGAGACCCTGTCTCAAAAACAAAACAAAACCATCTTTCAACTCAATGATGAAAAGAAAAATGACTTGATGTTGAAAGGGGAAAAGAAATGAGACATTTTTGTCTCTGAAGATACAAGAATGACCAATAAACACAGGAAAAACTTGCTCGAACAAGATAAAAAAAAAAAGCAACCAGCACAAAGAGACACCACTTCATATATGCTAAGATGGGGATAATGCAAAAGATGGAAAGGAAATTTTGGAGAGTGCATAAAATTAGAATCCTTTTTCATCTCCAGCAGGAATGTAGAATAGTGCCTGCATTGTAGAAACTAATATACCAGCTCCTCCAAAGTTAGCAAGCGATGTAAAGTATGCCTGTGATCTTAGCATTCAGGAGGCTGAGGCAGGAGGATGGTGAGTCTCAGGCCAGCCAGGACTAATAGTGAGACCCCCATATCAAAGAAACAAAAAGGGCAGAGAGCCAGCTTGCCTGGCAAAGGACCTGCTGTGTAAGCATGAGGATGGCATTCAGATCCTCAGCTCGTGGAAGATGAAAGAACCAGGTGGGCAATGTAGCTTGAAATCTGCAGCTGGGGCAGTGGAGATCAAGGGTCCCTGCAGCTCACTGCTCAGCCAGCCTAGCTTAATCCAAGAGCTCCCGGTTCAGCGAGGGACCCTGCCCAGGAACTCCCGGTTCAGCGAGAGATCCTGCCTCGAAACTAAAGGTGGGAAGTGATAGAGAGGGATGCTTGACATGAGTCTCTGGCCTCTGTGTGTTTGTGCACACATATGTGCACATCCACATGGACATGTGTACACACACAACCGCACAGAGAACTCTCATATGACCTGGGAATTCTACCCCTAGACAGGGTCCTGAGAGGATTAAAAACGGTGATTGAAACAGATCTGTGCCAATATTCACAGCAATGTTATTCTCAGAGGCCAAAAGATGGAAATGACCCAAGTATCTATTAACCAATGGATGGATAGACAAAGTGTATACAAAACACAATGGATTATTACTCTGCCATAGAAAAAAGGAAGCGTGCTGGCCCTTGCTATAATGTGGGTGGGTCTTGAGAGTATGATATTAAATAAAACAAGAGAGACGCAGAAAGACAAATGCTGTGGCTCTGCTTGAATCACAAGGGGCGGGTTCGTAGGTCCATCTCGAAGAGGCAGACTCGCAGGGACAGTGGGTGTGGGGTGAGAGGCAGAGAATCATTGCTTAATGAGTACAGAGTGTCTGTTTGAGGTGATGAAAAGGTTTCACAAATCGACTGTGGCGGTAGTTGCACAATAACAATTATGCCACGAAATCCCACACTTAAAAATGGTCAAAACACAGCCGGGCGGTGGTGGCGCACACCTTTAATCCCAGCACTTAGGAGGCAGAGGCAGGTGGATCTCTATGAGTTCGAGGCCAGCCTGGTTTACAGAGCGAGTTTCAGGACACCCAGGGCATACTATATATTTTTTACTATAATAAACACACACACAATGGCACAAATCTATGACAGAGTGCTTGCCTAGCATATGTCAAACTGTGGGTTCAAGGTCCAGTACTGGGGATAAAAAGCAAAAGAGCTGAGAGTGGCGGTGCGCCCCTATAGAGCTGGGGGTGGTGGTGCGCCCCTATAGAGCTGGGGTGGCGGTGCGCCCCTATAGAGCTGGGGGTGGTGGGGCGGGGGTGGCGGTGCGCCCCTATAGAGCTGGGGGTGGTGGTGCGCCCCTATAGAGCTGGGGGTGGTGGGGCGGGGGTGGCAGTGCGCCCCTATAGAGCTGGGGTGGCGGTGCGCCCCTATAGAGCTGGGGTGGCGGTGCGCCCCTATAGAGCTGGGGTGGCGGTGCGCCCCTATAGAGCTGGGGTGGCGGTGCGCCCCTATAGAGCTGGGGTGGCGGTGCGCCCCTATAGAGCTGGGGTGGTGGTGCGCCCCTATAGAGCTGGGGTGGCGGTGCGCCCCTATAGAGCTGGGGGTGGCGGTGCGCCCCTATAGAGCTGGGGGTGGTGGGGCGGGGGTGGCGGTGTGCCCCTATAGAGCTGGGGGTGGCGGTGCGCCCCTATAGAGCTGGGGTGGCGGTGCGCCCCTATAGAGCTGGGGTGGCGGTGCGCCCCTATAGAGCTGGGGTGGCGGTGCGCCCCTATAGAGCTGGGGTGGCGGTGCGCCCCTACAGAGCTGGGGGTGGTGGTGCACCCCTATAGAGCTGGGGGTGGTGGGGCGGGGGTGGCGGTGCGCCCCTACAGAGCTGGGGGTGGCGGTGCGCCCCTATAGAGCTGAGGGTGGTGGTGCGCCCCTATACAGCTGGGGGTGGTGGTGCGCCCCTATAGAACTGGGGGTGCATGCCTACAGACCTAGCACTGGGGACATGGAAGCAGGAGGCTCAGGACTTCAGGCTAGGCTGGACTACATAGAGAGTAGGAGGCCCCGTCTTGAAAAAGAAAAAGAACAAAACAAAACAAAATTAATGAAAGAAAATATTGTGGAAAGTGTCCTTTCACTTTGTCAGTTTGCTGAGAGGTTCATGGCACAGGAACAGGTTCAGAATCCCTAGCTAGTCACGGGGAGTTGGAGGCGGTGTGTCCTCTCTGTTACTATTGCTTAGTCCGTCAGAGCTGTCTTTCTGGAAGACTGCTAGTGGTGGTTGGTGTTTTATCACATCTGTTTAGTGTGGAGTGGAATGGGGAACAGCTTTGTAGAGTCATTTCTCTTCTTCCACCATGTGGTCCCGGGATTAGAACTCAAGTCCTCAGGCTTTACAGCAAGCACCTTTTACCCACTGAGCCATTTTGCCTGCCCTGATGGAACAATGTGTTTATTAGACATCATCCCGAGATACTGCAGGAGGTCTTTATGGCTACAGAGGCTGGACTGTGTAGTCTTGCACAAAGATTCAAGTGCTGAGAGCTTGGGTCCAAAGGAGGCAATGTTTGGAAGTAACACATAGTGAGACCTTGGCTATGGGAGCTGCTCCTTCATGCCTGGATCTAGCTATTGTGGGGCTGAATTTGCACCTGGAGAGCAGGTTTTATAAAGTGAGGCTGCTCCATGCCTTGACCACTTGCCAGCTTCCCTTTCCACTTCTCAGCTGCATTGTGACACAGCAGGGTGTCCTCACTAGGACTGTTTGGACCCACTGGCTATCGGAACCATGAGCCAAACAAACCTCTATAAGTTACTCAGCCTTGCACCTTTGGTTATAGTAGAATACTAGAAAACAGGCTCAAAGACGGTGCCAAAGAGGTTTATAATCAGAGGACCCTGCAAGACATATACAGGCACACAGACACACAGATACACAGACACACACACACACAGAGACCCACCGACGACAGACAGACACAGAAACGCCCACAGACAGACACACACACACACACACACACACACACACACACAGCCAACAACAACAGAAAACATCACACAGTGAACAGCACGGTTCTGACAACAGGGATCCAGAGAAGGGAGAGAGAGAGAGATAGAAGTGGGCCGCAGAGGAGTCCGGTTAGAGTTGGCTCCTGCCTGGCTTGGTGGCCACTGAGAGGTAGAGGACACGCACCGGCACTGGACGTGGTGTTTAAAGGTGGTGATGTTGATGTCCACGTTCCCGGAAGAGGGAGCCTTCCTCTTGTGCTCCTGTTGGAAATTCTCCTCGTTGTACACGTTTCGCTTGACATCATATGCGAAGGGGATTTGCCTGTATCTGCTGCCCAGACTCTGGATGCTCCTCTCTGCCTGCATTCTTCCTGGGGGAGCTGGAAAGACGCGAAATGAAAACGGGTGTTAGGGCCGATAAGACCAGACAGCTCAGTGGCAAAAGGTGTTGCTGGAAAGCCCGACGACCTGATGACCTGTGTGTGATCCTGGGGTCCACATGACAGGAGAATACCTGTCCCCGTAAACGGTCCTCTGACTTCACATACAACCTGCGGTAACATACGCCACTCCTACCACCAGATAAATCAACGTAACACAAAATATTTAGGGTTAGGTGCTTGTTAATCCCAGTACCTGGCATGCAGAGACAGAAGGATTTCTATGAGTTTGAGGACAGCCTGATCTATATAGCAATTTCTAAACCAGCCAGGACTACACAGGGAGACCCTATCTCAAAAGATAAGTACATTTTTAGAAATTTAAATCATAAGCATTTTCTTGATTTTTTTTAAAAAAAGATACTTTTATCAAGTCCAAATGGATCAAAGACCTCAACATAAAGCCAGCCACACTGAACTTCATAGAAGAGAAAGTGGGAAGTATACTTGAACACATTAGCACAGGGACCCACTTCCTAAATAGAACCCCAGCAGCACAGACACTGAGAGAAACAATTAATAAATGGGACCTCCTGAAACTGAAAAGCTTTTGTTAAGCAAAGGACATGGTCAACAAGACAAAACAACAGCCTACAGAATGGAAAGAGATCTTCCACATCAGACAGAGGTCTGATCTCCAAAATATACAAAGAACTCAAGAAATTAGACACCAAAAGATCACATAATCCAATAAAAAAAATGGAATACAGACCTTAATAGAGAACTCTCAACAGAGGAATCTAAAATGGCTGAAAGACACTTAAGGAAATGTTCAACATCCTTAGTCATCAGAGAAATGCAAATCGAAACAACTCTGAGATTCTATCTAACACCTGTAAGAATGGCCAAGATCAAAAACACTGATGACAACTTATGCTGGAGAGGTTGTGGGGTAAAGGGAACACTTCTGCATTGCTGGTGGGAATGCAAGCTGGTACAGCCCCTTTGGATGTCAGTGTGGTGATTTCTCAGAACATTAGGAAACAACCTTCCTCAAGACCCAGTAATACCACTTTTGGGTATATATCCAAAGATGCTCAATCGTGCCACAAGGACATGTGCTCAACTATGTTCATAGCAACTTTGTTTGTCATAGCCAGAACCTGGAAACAATTTAAATGTCCCTCGACCGAAGAATGAATAAGGAAAATGTGGTACATTTACACAATGGAATATTACAAGCAGAAAAAAATAATGACAGCTTGAATTTTGCAGGAAAATGGATGGAGCTAGAGAACATTATTTTGAGTGAGGTAACCCAGACACAGAAAGACAGTTATCACATGTACTCACTCATAGGTGGTTTTTAAACATAAAACAAAAGAAAGCCAGCCTACAAACCACAATCCCAGAGAACTTAGACAACAATGCGGACACTAAGAGAGACGTACATAGACTAAGAGAGACTTACATAGATCTAATCTACATGGGAAGTAGAAAAAGACAAGATTTCCTGAGTAAATTGGGAGCATGGGGACCTTGGGGGAGGGTTGAAGGGGGAAGGGGCGAGGAAAGAAAAAGAAAAGAAAGAAAAAAAAGATACTTTTACTATTTGTGTGTGTGTGTTTGTGTGTGCTTCCGTGTGAGTACACGTGCTCTCCAAGCCCTGAAACGGGAGCAGGAGTTGGTGCTTATGAGCTTTCCAACGTGTTACTGGGATCCAAGCTCAGGTCCTCTGCAAAAGCTGGGTCTGCGTTTATTGGCTGAGCCATCTCTCCAGTACCCTTGCTGTTTCTTGGAGAGAAGGTCTCCTGTAGTCCAGGTTGGCCTCAAACAAACAATGTAGCCAAGGATAGCCTTGAATTCATGATCCTCCAGCTTCCATGTCCCAAATTATCTACTATCTTTGTGTCTGTTTGTTTGTTTTTTAAACTAGAAACTTTCTTTGTTGCTCAGTCTGGTTTTGAATGATGAGTCTTCAGCAAGCACCCTAATTCAGTCCGAGCACTGGGACCAGGGGCGTGTCTAACTGTGCCTGCCTTTCAACATACTTTGATGGGAATGTAATTCATACATAATGATGTTACATTTGCACTGCAGTTTGATATGACCCTTCCTCCGTGTTGTATAATTTTACTCTCAAAGGACATGTTATTCTCATGTTCAAAATGGACAAGGTGTCAGGTGTGGTAGCCTGGCCTGTAATCCCAGCACTGTAGACACAGGGGCAGAAGGACCATGAGGCTGAGATCATCCTGGGCCACATACCAAGAGCCTATCAGAGCAATTGGACACAAGACCCCACATGAGAACACAGCTCAGGAAGTTAGGCAACTTCAGTGTTGACCGCTTACTTACTATGTGTGGTAGCATGTGTGTGCTCAGGTGTGTGTGGCTGCACATGTGTGCGCTCAGGTGTGTGTGGCTGCACATGTGTGCGCTCAGGTGTGAGTGGCTGCACATGTGTGCGCTCAGGTGTGAGTGGCTGCACATGTGTGCGCTCAGGTGTGCGTGGCTGCACATGTGTGCGCTCAGGTTGCGTGGCTGCACATGTGTGCGCTCAGGCGTGCGTGGCTGCACATGTGTGCGGGTGTGTGGGGGGCTATCTTTGTTCTCACTATGTAGCTCTGCACTGGGAAGACGCTGGTGTTTTCCTCACAGCCGCCAGACTCGTCTCTTCTGACAGGTGTAGGAAGTTCCTCAGCACACCACAATGATTCAGTCACAGCCACAGTTCAGGCCCTGTCTGTAAAACAGATGTCAAGTCTTAAACCATGTAACTTAGGGCGACACTGATGGCCCCTGAGAAGGTGAGTTGAGACTCAACTCAAGTCGGGGAAGAGGAATAGCCGTTTCCGGGAGAGGACTGGACACAATCAGAGATGATATAAGGGAAAGAATTCAAAAGATCTGAGTCGGGGGCTGGAGAGATGGCTCAGAGGTTAAGAGCACTGCCTGCTCTTCCAAAGGTCCTGAGTTCAATTCCCAGCAACCACATGGTGGCTCACAACCATCTGTAATGAGGTCCGGTGCCCTCTTCTGGCCTTCAGACATACACACAGAATATTATATACATAATAAATAAATAAATATTTTTTAAAAAAATCAAAAGATCTGAGTCATGTCTGCTTCTGCTTTACACTGGGGGGGGGGGGCGGGGGGTAAAGGTACCCTAGAGGAGGGCCGGTGAGCTGACTGCTGGGGAAGGCACCTGCCACCAAGCCTGATGACCCGAGCTGGATCCCTGGACCCATGTGGTGGAAGGAGAGAACCGACTCCCACAGCTGTGTCCTGACCTGCACTCGGCAGTGTGGCCTGCGTACATGAGCACACACACAAAATAAGCAGCTTAACTGTTTCTAGAGGGAGCTGGGTGTGGTGGCACATGCCTGTAGTCTCAGCACTTGGCACACAGAGGCAGGAGGATCAAGGGTTCAAGACCAGCCTCTGTTATGTAGCAAGTCTGAGGTCAGCCTGGTTATAGGAGAGCTTATTTCAAAATAAACAAACAAGACCACATGCCAAACAAAAGTCATTTCAAGAGGGTCCTGGAGGTGTGACTTGTCCTGGATCTCCTAGGATCTGGATTCGGAGGAGGAGTCATGTACATGTGGGATATACTTAAGGAGACATTAAATCAGAGATGCTGCCTAGAGCTGTATGGTCCGGCATGCTGAGCCGTCGGCTAATAAATTTACTACTTAAACCTAACTTTCGTAAAGTAAAATTTTATATTTTAAATTTAAATCCTACCAGTGCAGATATAAAACTTTCTGTCAGTAGGAGAAGCTGTTTTGAACACGGCTGGGGAAGGAGAGGTCAAGGCAAAAGCACAATTAAGAGACCCTCTGTGTCATACTGATCTAGGGACAGGTTAGTAAGTCATTTAGAATAAGTTGGAAAGAAAGAAACCAACTGACCAAGCAAACAAAAGCATGGAGCCCCAGTGGAGAGACAGGTGGAACGCTGCCTGTGATGTCTGATCATATGTCTCCCTGAAACATCAAAAGGAAACACATGACTTCCTTATTATGAGTTTCTTTGGAAGTCTCAGCAATGGCTCCAACTCCATGACTTTGTATATGTGTTTGTGTGCATGCATGTGTGTGGCATGTTTGTGTGAGTGCATGCATGTATGTGGTGTGTGTGTGGTGTGTTTGTGTGTGTGCATGCATGTGTGTAGTGTATGTGAGTATTTGGAGTATGTGTGGAGGCCAGGAGTCTATGCTCTCCATCTTTTTTTTTTTTTTTTTTTTGGTAAAGATTTCCTTATTCTATTTTTATTTTTACTTTTTTTTATTTTTCAAAACAGGGTTTCACAGTGTAACAGAACTAGCTTTTGTAGACCAGGCTAGCCTCAAATTTACAGGGATTCACCTGCCTCTGCCTCCTGAGTGCTGGGATTAAAGGTGTGCACCACCACGGCCCGGCTTTATTTTACTTTTACATGTATATTATGCACTGTGTGTGCCTGGTGTCCTCTGGCACAGAAGAGAGTGTCAGATCCCCAGGAATTGGAGTTATAGATGGTTGTGAGACACCATATGAATTCTGGGAATTGAACCTGGGTCCTCTGCAAGAGCTTCTTAACCACCTTATTTTTGAAACAGGTTCTTTTACTCAACAAGAGTGCACTGATTCAGCCAGACAGGGTGGTCATAAACTCCCTGTTCCTTCCCCTCCCCAGCTCTGGGTGTCTGAACTCGGTCCTTATGCTTTCTCAGTAAGTACTTTCCTGATGGAACAATCTCCCCAGCTCTTCCATCTCTTTTTGCTTTCATAAAAACCCCAGCAATGTCTCACACACCAACCCTTTCTGCACATGTTGGGATGTGCAGAACTCCTACGGACATGTAGGCCACACCGAGCAAGACTTCCTGAATCACAAGTTCTGGGGCAGCACAAAAATATGTTTCAAGGAGTTGGGAGAGCCCAGATTAGTGGCACACAGCTTTAATCCCAGCACTCGAGAGACAGAGGCAGGCAGATCTCTGAGTTCCAGGCCAGCCATAGGAAGACCTTGTTTTAGCCAGAGAGAGAGACAGCAGCAGCAGCATGATTCTGATATAGAGTAGCATATAGGGGTGCTATAATCTAAGATAAGCTAGTTACCTTTCCGGTCTTGGCTTTTTTAATTTTTAATTTAAATTTTTGAGACAGGATCTCATGTAGTCTAGCTGGTCTTGAACCCCCAGTCCTCCTGCCCCGCCTATCAAATGCTGAGATTACAGGTATACGCTGCCAGGCATGCTCTAATTCCTTTCTTTTCTTCCTGAACTGGGAATGCACCTGAGGGCCTCACATGCTAGGCTGCTCTACCCTGAGCCGTAGTCCTAGCCTTTAATTATCTTTAATCAGGCTCTAAGTGCTAAATTTAGAATACTATTAAAATACAAGCGCTTTAACCCAGCTCTTTCAAAACATCTACTGCCCTTATTCATTTATCCGTCTTATCTGCCCATCCACCCAGCCACTGACTGATTCAAAGAATCTCCATTTGAAATATTTAAATGCAAAAAAGTAACTTGATATATAAAATTTTGACCCAGCAGAAAAGAAACCCTGAAAGTTAAGGTGCAAGAATTTCTTTCAGCTGATACAGTCATCTTTTATTTGTTTCCTATAACCATTAGGCAAAATTCACTTCCAAGTTTTAAAAATAGCACGTGTAATTCCCAACCAAAACCTACTCGTTGCCTGTGACCTTCTCAGTTTTGATGGAGAGTGTACAGGGGACACGCATTGCAAAGGTGTTCGCAAATAGTGTTGTCTAGTGTCAGGAGATAATTGAAGGTGACAGCCCTCCAGCTGCTGATCATAGGTCATGTAAAACACGGACACCTTCCTTTAGGGTCATACAGTGTGTTACCAAGGGGGTGGGTTGGAGAGCGACTCATCACTGGGCTGAATGGAGGTTTCATGGGCGGACCCAATATATAATCTATAAATAGGGATTTGACTGGAAGACGGACAAGACGGGGAGTGGGCAGTGGGGGTGCGGGTGGAGATGGGGTGGGAGGCGCGGAGGTGGAGCACAGGGTTTAGCCAGAAAGAACGAAATGAACGAAAGCAATGAGGTTTGAAAGGATAAGGAGCCTTGGGCTGAGGCCTGATGGGGACACTGATCGGGTGGAAGTGTGGTGAAGCCCACAGACCGGTTCTCTCAGCTTTTGACAACACGGAGAGTTTTTGAAGGACCCAGCCTGCAAAACTCACTGTCTCTAGTCACTGTTTCACGCGGCCTTTCGATACGAGAGAGAAGTTCCAGGGACCACCGCCATTCATTTATTTATTCATTCATTCATTCATTCATTCACCCACTCGTTGCGCAAATCATTCAAAGGGTGCCGGGGACCTTCCGGGGTTGCAGGTGACCCCAACAGCCCAGCCCTGGGACGCGCCGGAGCCCCCAGGGTCCCGGGCAGCAGCCAGTGCTCCCGATGGCTCCCGACCAAGGCTCACCTGGTTCCCGGTGGCCGGCGGGAGCGCTGACGCTGGGTTCAGACTCGGCTCCAGCCTGGCGGGCGGCGGCGCTGCGGACGCGGAGGCCGGCAGTTCCCGAGCCGTTGCTGCAGAACCCTCCGGCGTTCCGGCTGTGCGGGTGACGTCTGGGGCGAGGAGAAGGGTACCTGGCTGCCCTCCACACCCCTGGGCCATGGGAACCCTCTGGATGGTCTAGAAATAGCCACGAGAATAGGAAGTCCTTTTCCTTCGTCTCCGTGTAACAAACACAGGCATGCGTTGGTCATGGCGGGGTGGATGTGGGTAGGGATGGGTTGAACTTGCCCCGTTCACATTTATTACTAGCTTAAACAGAAGATTCCACTAGGTGGGAATGTAGGGCAGGATTTCTCGTGTAGACACAGGAGCCAGGGCCCAAGCAAGGTCAATGGACTTGCCTAAAAGCGAGGCTGTCGCCTTGCTCCCAATACTCCCAGAGGCATAAGTCTAAAAATTTCTCTAAGTTTAGATTCTTAAGATTCTCCAAAGTTTCCTTTAAATTTCTACATTTTGGATAACTCTAAAGGGCAGGGGTCAGTCTCAAACTCCAGTAACAGGTTTTGGGGTGTTTGACATACGATCTCATAATAGCCCGGGCTGGCCTCTAATTACATTGCAGAGGCTGGTCTTGAACTGCTGATCCTTCCAAATGCTGGGATTAGAGGCTGTATAATGTGTGTGTATAAAACATATAAACATTGCATATATACATACACATATTATATTCATGAACATGTGTTTGTGTGTGTGTAAGAGGAGACTTTCCTGAAATGGAACGACTTACCTACTAATAATTTATGTAGTTATATATATATGTGTGTGTATGTACACATATTTCTCTTTCCCTTCCAGTGCGGGGATGGAACCCAAGACCTTGCAAATGCTAGCCTCCAGCCTGACAGCGCACATTCTTGATGTCTATTCTGACCTTGTCCATTCGACTCCCTATGGGTCCCTGGAATTTCCTTCTGGAACTTCCAGAGTGGTTCTTCAGCTTGAGAAAATTTAAGAGCTACTAGAAGCGTCTGGAGGGAAAGCCTCGGCTTTGAGGCAGGGTTAATATTTCCTTAAGGGGCAGATTTCGTCAACACCCCCAGGAGTAAGCCACGTGTCCTTGAGCAGACAGGAATGCAACAGCTTTCTGGACAGGGCCCGTCTGTTCTTGCAAGGGTTTCTTGGAAATTGCGAGCTCCAATGAGCAGGTGACTTGCAGTTCAAAGATCTTTTGGCTCCCCCCCCCCCTTCCCCGCCCCGACGCTGTCACAGTCAGTGGCTTTCCGCCATGGCGCCAGGCATTCGCCAAGCCGACCACAAAGAGGCGCGCGCGGCATGCACTGCGGACTCGTCCTCCGCGCCCTGGAGGAGCCCAGTCCCCGAGTTCCTGCCTCGTCGCCCCAGCTGGGTCTCTTTTCTCGCGAGAGCTGCCTCCCTCTCGCGAACCTCCCCCCCCCCCCACGGGCAGGTTCCATATTGGGTAAGATCTCGGCTGGCCGAGGGCTGTCTCCGGGATCTGTTCTCGCGAGACTTCCACGAGAGGCTCCCGGTCCTTGCCTGGAGGATCTCGGCCACTGGAGCCCGAGCGGGCGCTGTGGCGCGAGCGGGTGTTGTGCGGTGTCGGCCAGGGCAGCGGCTGCAGGGGGACCGCGGCGGGAGCAGCCTTGAGCCGCAGAGCCGGCTCCCGCACTTTGCTGAGGCTCGTCGGAGCCGCCGCGCCTGACAGAGGCCGCGCGCCGGGGGTCACAGCGTCCGGAGCTGCGCGGGCGGCTGGGGCAGCAGGGTCCGGCCAGCCGCGCGGAGGGCAGGCGGGCGGGCGAGCGGCAGGCGCAGAGGAGAGCGTGCGGCTGCAGGCAGGGGCCCCCCGCTCGGCCACCTCCTCGCCCCGCGGCCGCCGCTGGAAGATGTCTCAGGAGAGGCCCACGTTCTACCGGCAGGAGCTGAACAAGACCATCTGGGAGGTGCCCGAGCGATACCAGAACCTGTCCCCGGTGGGCTCGGGCGCCTATGGCTCGGTTTGGTGAGTGTCGCCGGGCCTCGGGTGGAGGGACGCGGTGGAGCAAGCAGGGTGGCCATGCATGCCTGAGGGCCAGGCCTGTCCCCACAGCTCAGCGATGCGCCCAGCGGCAGGAATTCTCCGGGCGTGTGTGGGGGTGCAGGGGGCAGTCGGAGCGGTGCGTGTCCTGCACCCCTCACCCTGCACACGCAGGTAGATCGGGAGCCATGTGCAGGAGCGGGTCCGCGGTGGGCTCCCCGCGATGGTGCTCCACCCAGCGCTGTCTCTCTGCTTAGAAGATTGTTCCTCTCGGGGTCCCTCTGCAGCCGTGCAGCCGAAGGACCCTGGCCCCGGGTGCGGCCACTTGGGACGCTGGAGCCCTGCCCCGGAGAGCAGACGAGCCGGGCGGAGCTTCTGTGGGGAGCTGTAGGGCAAAGCCTGGCCCGGGGACTGCGGTCACCTGAACGAAACTTGCAAGAAAAAGCGCTCCTTTCCCGAAATTTTTTTTCTTATTTTTTTTCTTTTACAATCCTCCATAGAAAAGTCCTGGTTTACGAACCGTTCTTTTGGAGTTCGCACATGAATTAGCAGTACCCCGAAGAGCTTAAAATACCGACTTTATCTCGGGGAGCGCGGTGCCAGCTTGCGTCGTGTGTTTCGGATTCGGTCGAAAGCTTTATTTCCTTTTCGGGGGAGGGAGGGTGGCAGCGCCTGCAAGGACGCTACTGCTCGCCGCTTAGTCACATCCCACTGCTCATTTCAGTATTGTTTGACAAAACAGTTTTTCAGTGCGGAGCCAGAGGGATTCTGACCTGTTGGGCTTTCTTAGGATCAGAAAAGTAGGACTAGGGCTCAGAGGTTTTTGATTGAAACAAGTCCTGGGGATGCTTGCCTTTTTTTTTTTTTTTAAAGCCCCTTTGAAGGGGAGCGTTATCAGCCTTTAAGGACCGAGGTACATAGTGGTTTTCGTGAGAACCTGGAACATGTATAGCAAAGGAAACTATGTTTTTCAATTTTAAGCCACGCCGTGATTTTTGGTATTTTGTTGTTCGTTTGAAACTATGTATCTCCCTGGCTGCTCTGAACCTCACTGTCTTGGCCTGGAACTCAGAGACATCTCTTCTGCAGGCGCTGAGCATGTCTTTCACCACCCTGCAAGGCTCTGGGAATGGGTTTAAAATTAAATCCATACAATAAAATTTCCACTCCAGAAATGTCTTAGGAACTTTCAAGTATTCCTACAGTATCTTTTAGACTTGGTATCAGATTAGAACTCCCGATCAGAAAGTAAGCATCGGGGTCAGCAGATGAGCTCTTTCTGTCTTTTAGTAATTCATCTGCATTCCTGCTTTCCAAAGAGTCTGGAGAATTGGTTTGTTTTGTTTTGGAACAAATTCCAGGCTTCTGGATGTGTTAATCTCTAAGTATGAGTCCTGTGTTACTTAAAGTCACACCATGAATTTCCTGTTTGGTAGAATCTTCTGGGTAATTGAGATTGTGCAATCGTGTCCAGCAACAGATCGTATTACATTTGCTGGTACAAGCTGCATAAGTTATGTTGCAGATGGTACCAACCTTGACGTCTTTCTCCCTGTTTACATTGTGGTGGTTTACATTTTAATAAAATGGCAGTAATACACATTTCTCATGTGTATCTGCGATTGGATTGTTATATTCATTATTTTTCTAATATTTAATAGCTCATTAGCATACCTTTATTTTTCATTCCTAATTATTACAGTATCAGGCTTTTGTTTCCATTTGAATGCTCAGGGAGTGATGCAACAGAATAGCTCCACTGTAGGCCATCTGGGTGGGGTAAACTTGCAGGGTTTCCCATGGACACTGCTGCCCTGGCAGAAGAGCAGGTTTGCAGTGACGTTCAGTAGTGAAGTGCCATTAAAGCCCTCAACACTTCCTCCAGTGCTGTTCTTGTCTATGAAACAGAATTGAGCACAGCCTCACAATTTGAAAGGACTTTTAGCTAACAGCTTCTTTTTTTTTTTTTAAATATTTATTTATTATGTATACAATACTCTGTCTGTATGTCTGCAGGCCAGAAGAGGGCACCAGACCTCATTACAGATGGTTGTGAGCCACCATGTGGTTGCCAGGAATTGAACTCAGGACCTTTGGAAGGGCAGGCAATGCTCTTAACCACTGAGCCATCTCTCCAGCCCGAGCTAACAGCTTCTTAAAAGTAGTTGATGCGGGACCAGTGATGTAATTCTTGGTACAGCCCTGGCCTTGCCTATGGGAGGCCCTGCATTCCATCTCCAGCAACACAAAGCAATTCATTATGTATAAAGTTCAGAAAGGTATGCCACAGTTCTCCAGCCCTACTTTCTCTTCCTTCAGTGACAACCACTATTCAGTTCCTTGCATATCTTTTCAGAGAGGCAGTTTCTACAGAGTTGAGATGTGACCTACAACCTATCAATGGAGCAAATACCATTTTCAAGTTCGAAGTTGCAGGGGTTTTTGAAGATTTTTTTAAAAAAAATGTTTATGTATATGAATATTTTGCTTGCATGCACATATATGTGCACATGAATGCCTGGTGCTATGGGTCCCTGGAACTGGGGTTACAGACAGTTATGTGCAGCTCTGTGGGTGCTGGGAATTGAATCCAGGTCCTCCTCAAGAGTCAAAGTTACGCTTTTTTTTTTTAAACATTTATTTATTTATTTATTTATTATGTATACAGTATTCTGTGTGTATGCCTGCAGGCCAGAAGAGGGCAACAGACCTCATTACAGATGGTTGTGAGCCACCATGTGGTTGCTGGGAATTGAACTCAGGACCTTTGGAAGAGCAGGCAGTGCTCTTAACCACTGAGCCATCTCTCCAGCTCCCAGAGTTACGCTTTTTAAGTGCGACTGAAAACACCTTTTTGAATTTCTTTTTTTGGTTTTTCAAGACAGGGTTTCTCTGTGTGTCTCTGGCTGTCTGGAACTCTGTAGACAGGCTGGCATTGGGGTCACAGAGATCTGCTTGCTTCTGCTTCACGAGTGCTGGGATTAAAGATGTGTGCCACTGCGCCTACCTTCTTGAATTTCTTTTTTAACCCACTTTGGGGCTTGTGTTCCTTTTCTCC